GTAATTTATACATAATACATGCACATCACATACATATTTTCTCTCTTATACATCTCTTAACTTGGCTCACATTTTCATATAACTATATACACACATGCGTACATACATGCAGGGAAACAAAGTCAAGAATGATCGGATTAGATGTCCCTCTCATGCTCATTGAGTTACAATCGTTTGCTAGAGAAATTATACTTATGGTGTTCCTTATTCAGTCAGAGGTTGCAAAAGGTAAGAATTTATGGGATATTTTGATATCTGTATCATGCCTTCCAACTAGAATTGTATTCTTCTCAGTCCCTGGGACTGAAGTGTTAGGCACATGCTGGTGGAAAACGAATTGGCCAAAGCACAGGCTTTACCATACAGTATCTGGGTTCATAATCTCACCCACACTAGGTACCAGCTAAGAGAACATGTATTTAAATGCCCTGAGCTTCAGCCTCCTTACCAGTAAAATGTGTTAAGAGATCCACACACTTAGTGGCTGCAAGGCACCTATACAGAGCTATCTCCCTAGACTGTTAATGAATATTTGCTCATTAATTGATAAACTTATCTCAGAAAAGGGTCCGGACTTACTGCCAACCATTACTTTTACAGACTCGCCTGTTTTACAGCTATATAGACAGGTGTTTGAGAATGTAAGAAATTAAAATAGAAATAGGAAAGCTTTTTAGTCCATTTTGCTAATTAATATGTCAGAGCTCATAAAGAAGAACTCATCGGCTTTCTTCAGTACTGCATCATCTTAAAGAGCTGGGTCAGCAAAGATCTCTGCAGACAGTCAATACATATTAAAACAGTCCCAAGCAGTAAATCAAAACAAAAAATTTAAGATATAGTAAAAAAGTAAAATTTATAAGTCCTTTCTGACTAAAATGTGGAGGAGCATTAAACTATTAGTTTAGGTGTCAGCTCAGTATGTAGGGGGAAAAAAAGAAATGATTTCTTCTTAGATATAATTTATGAGTCTGTATAATCAAAATTAAAGCATAATTTAAAAAAAAAGCTATGCCAAATTTGATGTCATTTTCTTTGGATTCTAATGTTCCCTCAGGATACTGAAATCATTAAAAATTGGTTTTGTTGCTTAAAATATATATTTTGCTGGAGTTTTTTCAACCTCCTGCGTTTACTAAGATTTGGATTTTGTCAGAATTTTGTCAATTAACAAGATAAGGAAAGGCATATTTTTGATTTTTAAGGCTCTCTGAAACTTTTTAAGGCTTAAGAAACTTCCTTTCTTAAAGGAACCGATTAAAAGGTATTTTTGTTCTTAACCTCTCTGGGTAGGTCTCAAACATTCCAGAGACATTGATACCTCTCAAACAGGGAGGAGGACACTGCAAGATTGACAAGAGAACATCCTGCCTGCTTCCCAGCTAAGGTATGAGATGCTATGCACTCAGGGGAACCCCTGAGGTAGGTTGTTAGAAAAATCTCAAGAATACTGAACTGATTCCAGAAGGGGTAAGGGGACACTACAATTTATGCCAACAATATTAGAAAGATTTATCTTACCTGAGCCTTTGATTTGATCTAGGCTTTGAAGAATCAACCATTTAAAGATCAAGCCAAGGAAAGGGTGCCAAAAATATTGTCACAAATTTGGGAGGTACCCAAGCCAGACCAACAGATGGAACTTGGCATGAAATGGCTCTCTACACACTAAGCTGACTCAGAAGAAACTTTAACTCAGATGAATTTATTAAAATGTTGAATATCATCCTAAATAAGATGGATGATAGATTCAGGTCAGCACATACAATTTAATTTAACTTCCTGATGGTCTTGGATGGTATGAAAGCTGCCCATATTTCTATAATTAAAAAGAGACAGAGGGAGATACTCTTCCTTTTTAGCAAAAGATTTATCACCTTTTTACCTAAATATTCTGAAGGAAAGATTTGGGGAAGGGAAAGGTAAAACGAAAAGACACTGAATGATTTCTTTTAACATTGGCGAGACAAGCATGATCATGGACCATTAGACATTATAGTCCAGCTAGTAACTTGCTTAGTGGTCACAGATGTAGCAGATTGAGACTACGGTTATATAGATTAGGTGAATTTTCAAGCTGATTTGTGTAACTGAAAGATGTTACCAGAAGCAAAAGGACCCTTAATCCTCTTTTACCATCGCGGCCCCCTCCTTAGAAACTGCTCTGCCTAAGTGCCGCACATGTTGCATGTTACGTGAGTGATGAGTTTTTTGAGGATCATTATAATTCAAGATAAATCTTCCAAAAGAAATAAATATAAAAAATGGGGGAGGGTATGTTCTTGGAATATATAAATTTATAACCTTAGTTGTAAATTCTTCTTTAATGCTGCTTTGTATTTTCTCAGGATGGTCTCTACAGTTTTAGAGTGATCTCACATTATTAATAGAACTCTAGAGTGTAGAGTTTTAGGTAATTGGTTAGCCCTCTTGATTGGGTTTTCTCAAATGCCATTTTTGCTCCAGAGTGAGCAAAGTTCTGGTTGTTTTCAGCATTTGCACTGATTCCACAGATGACCAGTGAAAAGCTCAATGACACTGTGATAGTGTATACGAGGACTCCGAAATGTAAAATGGTGAATGTTGTACTAGCAGTTCATTAGGAACCAGAAATCTTTAAAACACCTGATTGATTGATTGATTGATTGATTTTTTAAAGATTTTATTTATTTATTTGACAGAGAGAGACACAGTGAGAGAGGGAACACAAGCAGGGGGAGCGGGAGAGGGAGAAGCAGGCTCCCCGCAGAGCAGGGAGCCCGATGTGGGGCTCGATTCCAGGACCCTGGGATCATGACCTGAGCCGAAGGCAGTCGCTTAACCGACTGAGCCACCCAGGCGCCCTAAAACGCCTGATATATTTAAGCAGCATGGTTCATATGATATAAAAATTAACCTATCTGACAGGTTTAAAATTATGCCATTTTTGTCATTTTTTTTCAATTTGGAAATTATTTCAAGTTTTGTACTTAGGGTAATTCTTTTTTACTGTGTTTTTATTTTATTTTATTTTTTTAATATGGAACGCTTCACGAATTTGCGTGTCATCCTTGCGCAGGGGCCATGCTAATCTTCTCTGTCTCGTTCCAATTTTAGTATATGTGCTGCCAAAGCGAGCACTCTTTTTTACTGTGGTTTATATCACACTACATAAAAGCCTATCATTCAACTTAGTAAAATACGGTAGTGATATACAAAGGTAATAATGTCCTCATTTAAAAAGAGTGCCAATAACTTTTAGTCACTGGTTGATAGAAACTTGTTTGGAAATGAAGATCAGAATAAGATTTGATTTTCTGGAAAAAAGTCAGAAAGTTCATTTGCTCATTTTCAAAAACCATATTGATAAACAGTCTTAAAAACTGCATTTTTTTTTTTTTTACCTTGAAGCCCATCCCAGTACATAAAAAGGCTTTAACCTTCAAGTGTTAATCTGTGTAACAGAACTAACAATAAGCAGTACCATTTAGGATGCACTGAAGATGAAAACAACATAGGCAATCCTTGGGGCTCCTTGGTCACGAGAACTTCCTTTTCAGATTCCTAAAAATATTTCCAGTTGTAGAGAATGTAATGGACAAGGATGATGGGGAAAAGCAGCACTCTGCAGTTTATCACTCTCAGAGAAATCTTTTCCTTCACCGTGATCTAACCTCTTAGGCTCTTTATTAGGAGCAGCAGAAAAGAAAAAAAATCTAAGAGTTGTGAACCAGCCCTTCCCTGCTGTTATCACAAGAGAATCTGGAGAAAGAGGAAAAGAAAAAAACCCCATAATCTTGCCCAGGAACACGATGGAAGTAATGAGGCATCAAGGCCACTTACTGCCGGAGACATAATTAGCACATAAACACAGGAGACACTTGGTGACAGGAAAGACTTTCTTTGTTTCAGAAACAGAGGATGTCAACAAATTGTAACTCTTCTGTTATTTGAAGTGGCAAGCCTAAGAGTAAAATGGATATTCTTCCCCAAATAATACACCTGTAGAGGAAAGGGATCCCTGTAGTATTTGTAAGCTGGGTAACTCTTAAGTGTTTTCAACTAATGTGAAAAAAGCAACAGTGAAGGGCAAAGGGTGAGAAGCAAACCACTTGGCAACGAAGGAAAAGCTTGGATTTTCGACTGGAAGGGATCTCCCACATAACAGAGAAAGACCCAGGAAATGCACAGAGATCCTTGTGGACTTCCTGGAGAACCTCGAGGAATGAGGGAGCTCATTCGTCAGTCTAAAGAAAGACAATTCGGCCATCTTGGGTGTGATCCTCTTTGATGACAAGCAAAATAACTATTCCTTTTTTAAGGAGAAATGATCACATTTTTCTTGTTCTGGAGCTCTTTGTTCTGCCACTGTAATGTGAAAGTCATCATGGAAAAGAGTTTCAAACTTTCTTGGATTTTCCTTATAATTTTTTTTTTTTTT